GGGGGCGGGGCCACAGCAGGGGGCATGGGGGTTGGGGTGCTGCTGTTGGCGCTCACGTGGCTCATCTAAAGTAGAAAGAGTTAGCTGAAGGTGCTATTCCACACATATATACAACATACTCATGCCATCGCACATGCATACGTCTCGGTTAGTGACAAGTGAGTGCATGCGGACACGTAAACACACACTCCCTTTGCTTTCTCAGGCAATATGGATGAGTAACACACACAGATGCCCACAGCAGTAAACGCTGGTTTGCCTGTCCACTAACATGCACTATTGATTGGGTTAGAGCTCAGCATGCTGGACTTCGAGTTTTTAAGACGTGGCAGGGAAGCCCAATGAGGTGTTGGGCACAGGCTACACACCTGACTTCCCTGGGAGGTGCATCTGGAAGAGATCCAGGAGGCAGCCTTCAGTCGGCCCAGCTCCAACAGCACCTTGCCCCTGGCGCACTGCAGGATCACAGCACACACAGGTTTGGCACTGTGGACTGTGTCTTCTTACTCATTTCCTCTCAAATACACTTTCACATACTTTCGAGAACCTTTACACACACATGCAAAGACCTGATGCCACAACACATCCTCGCTCTCGTCCAGAGAGCCAACCCCATTGAGCTGAACTCCACAGGGAGGGTACAGCCAAACAACACGGGCTCAATGCAACCTCATTCAAGCCAACATTTCCCACAATTCCACCAACTGGCACAATACTGCAGCTTCTTTTTGCCCTGTTCAGAACATTATCATTAAGGCCTTTTCACATGACTCCCAAAGAGCAGCAGAGAGCGCCATGCATGGACAATTTTCTATTAATTTGCATAAACTATATAATGTGTATAATATATTGTAATATGTATAATATATAATAGTGTATTATATTTATATACATATATTATATACATACATATGATGTCATGTTTAAGCTAAAAAACAAACAAACATCTTAACAACATGACAAAACTGACAAGGTTTATTCTGCAATTTTGGCATTATATATAACATATGATTCTATTAACTCTTTGTAATAACATTTGTAACACAATGTTATTACTCAATTCAATTTGTTGTTATTAATTTTAGAAAAAATAATTTCTGGGGAACACTAATGTGAATCATGTCAAAGGGCCTTGTCAAAGTGTTGGACGTTACTTGAATTTTAATGACTTAAAACTTACAGAAGGGTTGGGCTGGATATTGTTTAATATCAATTTCGAGCACATTTTTGGGGATAGCTGATATGCTGATATCTGTGCTGACCTTAGCAAACACTGTGATAAACTGATCTGATGGTACTGTTTAAATAAAAAAATATTACAGGAGGCCAAAACTGTTAATAGAGTGAATGTGCATCTGATCTACATGTAAACAAATGAAACGGGTGGGTTAGATGCCACATTTAATTTGACGGTACAACCTGTATGCTGACATATTTAAATATGGTGTATATCGTGACCATTATATAAGACATATGAAATTCAGTGTTTTTGTCACTTGAAATGAATTATGTGGTCCTACATAACACTTTAGACCCCCATGAATGCTTCAAGCTCTTTTTAATAGGAATAAACTTTGCAGCATTTTTTTAATAAAATCTCTTTGAATTCATCAATGTGGTTGTAGACAAAACAAAATGTTTAAATAAGAAATCCGAAATTGTTTATAAATACCACAGACCTCAACAGCCACTAAATACACAATCAAACAGCGACACCTAGGGGCAGTATCCCGCAACTGCCGCTGCAAATAAATCTGCTCTTGTAGCCTGCTTTTGAAACGTGTTGTAAACTGGGCTTGAGTTTTAGGATTCAGGTGGAGCTCACCTTGAGAATGGCGGCAACAGTCTCCTGTGAGGCCTGTCTCATGTCCTCTCCATCCACAGACAGGATCTGATCACCCTGCATCAGCCTGCCGTCCAGATCAGCCGCTCCGCCCTTCACCACATCTGAGATGAACACACCCTTACCATTTCTGAAGAGAGAGAAAACAAGAAAGAGGAAATGTAGGAAATGCCATATCTGTGTACAACCAAAACAACTATTGTATTGTGCAGTTCGTTTTTTTTAATTTTTTTTTTATATTCTTCAATTATGCATTTAATTAAATTATGCATAATTTATTATTATTTAATTTTAAAAACTATTACTGTATAAAACTACTATAGTATTATTTTATTCTATTATTTTTTTAAATGACTGCTATTGTATTGTACATTTTATCTTATTTTAAATTAGTGTATTGTGCATTTCATTCTATTAGTTTATTTCAAAAGGATCATTGTACTGTGTATTTTATTTATAAGTTGCTTTGGATAACTGTACTGTGCATTTTGAAAATGTAAGTTGCTTTGAATAAAATTGTCTGCTAAATTAATAAATGTATTATTTAAAAATATTAAACTGTGAATTTTTATTATTTTAAAATAATTATATTTTATTGTATTTTAACTTTTTAAGCCCTAAGCGGCCCGCTGGCGGGCCGGCACCCCAAAACAACATTCATAATCATATTACTCAGCAACCACTAAATGGAATAACATAAATTAGATATCATTTTAAAGCTTAGAATCTCAGTTTTTTAATGAATGTAATCATTTTGGTCAGCTCTTAAGGAGTGCTGAGCAGTCCCTTTAACCCTGACCGTACCGCCGGCTTGGAGTCTGACCTCCAAAGTAGTGCAGAGTTATTTGCGGATAAATAGAAAAAAATGTTTTCATAATTTATGAAAAATGTTTTTGTGCCATGGTCTCTAATATGTCAGAAACATCATACAGCTCAGATAGTCATGTGTCATATGTAATTTGAAAGGGCTCATCGAGTAGAATAAAACAAGTATAATTTTTGGGGGCTTTGACTAAACTTGAGTGAGGCATTACTTCAAATTCAAAACAACAATTTCAAAACTGTTAAGGGCTACGAGAAGGGCTACCTTGGTACCAAATGCTGTAACTTTTGATTACTTCATGATATCACCACAAAATTTAATTCACATACAGCACACATGTTGGGGAACATCACCAAAAAAGAATTTTTCTCCTACCATATATCTTTCATGAGATACTGAACGTCAAATAAGAATTATATGAAAAATTTCCCTTGACCACACTAATTTTTCTTACATTTTATCACCTATTTCTCGGCACGAGAATATTCAAATGCAAAGATTTTTTTCCTCCATAAATATATAGAAAAATTTCTATCAGACGATACCTACCTTTTGACTTTCCTTGCTACGGTCTTGGAGTTATGAGTCATTATTTTTGTGTATGGCACTCAGAAAACAACAGTTTTTAAAATTCCTTCAGGCAGTGAAGAGCTAAACAAAAAGGCCTGTTTTGTTACAAAATACTGTAACTTTTGGATACTTTATGCCATCACCACAAAATTTGAAACAGAAACAGCTAACATGCTGGGGAACATCATCAAAAAAAATAATTTTCCTCCTACCTTATTTCTGTCCTGAGATATTGAATGTCAAATAAGACAGATATGAAACATTTCTCTTGAGCACTCAAATTTTCCTACATTTTTATCAGCTATTTCTCAGCAGGAGAATGTCCAAATGAAATAATTTTTTCCCACTGAAAGTACAGAAAGTTATCTATCAAACGATACCAACCTTTTGACTCTCCTTGCTACAGTCTTTGAGTTATGAGTTATGTCACTCAGAAAAAACATCAACTTCAGTGAGGCAAAATGCCCTCAGGGCTTAAAGGGTTAAAATGATTATAGTATTATGCATTGTTTTATTTATTTTAAAAATACTGTATTACACATTTAATTATTATTGTACTGTGCATTTCATTATATTATTTTTTCAAAATTACTGTACTCTTAATTTTATTAATATTTACTGTACTGGCCATTTTATTACGATACTATTTTAAAATTATATTGTATTGTGCTTTGTGCATTTTCTAAATCATTTTATTAAAAAAAAAATTTCTCTTCTCCTCATAAGGAAAACAAGTTTGCACTCACCTCTTCCCAACGATGCTCAGGCCCAGCCCGCGTCCGGTTCTCTTCTGAAGTTCAATGCGGAACACGTCGAGGTTCTCCTCGTCCCTGTATTGCGCCTCATCTCGCAGGACCGTCAACCGCACTTCGGCTGGTGTTTGCCGTAGAGCAGCTATTGCGTCTTCGTGAGCCACGCTGTGCAGATCCACTCCATTCACCTGCAGGGGGCGCCAGAGGACCCAGTTTCCATACACATTAACAAACAAAACAATTACGCAAAATTAAAGCTATTCAGAATTACTATTAAAAAATAATAATAAATAGAATAATATGATAATAATAATAAATGACACACAATTACTAAAAAGTAAACTCAAATTAAAAAGAAAACTGAAAATCTAAAAATAAAAGCTAATTCATAATATGAATAAATACAGCACATTCGGCACATAGCAAGAGCTAATGCTCACGCTACTCGATGTCCAGAAGATGGAGCTATCGTCTAAATTAAAGACAGAGAAGCACTGCTCAGATCTTATGATTGTAAACTCTCCTAGTCACATCTCTCTATTCTTATTATTCACAATAATAGTGACCCTCAAACCAACATCACATTTCCATTTTGCTCAAGGCAGACCAGCTGTCAGAGACATTGCAGATGCATCCTGCTCTACAACCTTGCAACACACTCTCTCTCTCTCTCTCTCTCTCTCTCACACACACACACACACACACAAACAAACCTCGAGAATCTGATCTCCAGCCCAGAGCCGACCGTCCCGCGCCGCCGCCCCCTCCTCATACACTTCATGAATCACTATGGCATCCTGAAAAGATGAGAAATGTGTGTGAAGAGGAGGAATATGGCAAAGAAACTACAAATTCCTATCACATGTTTCTTAAAGGATAGCTCACCTAAAAAAATTTATTCTGTCACCATTTACTCACCCTTACGTTGTTTCAAATTCGTATAAAACAGAAAAAATTACAATGAAGCTTGAAATGGAAGATTCAAAGCTTTATAAAGGAGACAAAAGTAACACAAAAGTGACTCTTTAGCCATATTTTAGTATAAGTCCTAGCATAGACTTGTGTGAAAAAAAAAACAAAAGTTGAAAGTTATCAGTGTTAAAGTAGAATTATTTACATACTATAATAGTACTTTTGAATTATTAATAACAATATTAAATATTAAATATTAATATGAAAAGTAATATTCTGAATGAGCTTTTTTTCATTTTAGTTTAATAATGGTTTAGTAAATTTTGTTAGTGCTCGTCTTTTTTTTTACATTTACATTTTTGTTTTCTATTTCTACATTGCTATTTATTTTTATTTAAGTTTTAATATTAGTAATTGTAATACTTCAGTAATTTTTAGTGCTTTATTACTTTAACTTAAATTTTATATAGCTGCTAAGGCAACATTCTCTATAAAGTTTTTCATGTAATATTTATTTTATTTTATGTTAGCTGTATTTTAATTATGAAAACTATTTTTAATAGTTTCAATTTTAGTTAACAATACCAACACTGCTCATTATTATGCACTAAAAATCTGGACATTTTCTATTTTGTGAATCAATCATTCTTTTGAGTCAGATCTCTTTAATGAATCTCCCAGTTCACAAAAACGGAATGATTTGTTTATGAAATGAACTGATCAGGTTCTCGAGTTCAACTCACTGAATTGATTCAGTGAGAGCTCACTGGAGTAAAAGATTATCACTGAATAATAACTTTGATAACAAAAATTTGTTCCTTGCAAAAAGCTGTTGTATTCAGGAATTCAGAAGACTATAGCAAGATTAATATAGTGAATGTGCCATACAGATCACTTCAATGATACTTTTATTAGCATCCTTTATTGAAACTTGAAAGCTTAAGTCACTATTTTTTGTAACTGAATGGAAGAGAGCAACCTAAAATATCTCCTTTTGTGTTCCACAGAAGAAAGTATGTCATACTGATTTGGAGCGACATGAGGGTATGCAATTTTTGCTCCCCTTCACCTTTAAAATCCTTTTATATAAAAACACACACTGAGACATTTTTCTGCTGAAAACCTGTGGAGCCCGAGGGTTGGTTTTGATGACTCATGGAAGCCTTTAACAGCTAAACTAGACCACAGAGCCGGAGCATTGCAGAATTATGATGGCGAGGTGGCAGCGCACAGATAAAAACCTGAGGCGATGTTCGTCTCTGCAGCCCGGCAGAGAAAGTCAGGGCAGACAAAAAGCTCCTGCTGTGACCTGCCTGTTCTGATGCAGCCCTGCGGCCCACTGGAAAGAATGATCCCTGTCATTTATCTAGCTATTTTTGAACATAAGAAAGCATCCTGCGTGTGTACACTACCAAATCTAGTTAAAAATAAGCAATCAACAACAATAAATGTGTTATTGACTGAAACGGTCATTAAAACGGTCTCTTGATGCATGTGTTTCAATCAAAGGTGCTGTATGTGATTTCAGCCTGTTTGCTAACAAACACTTAACCACTGAAAACAGAAATCATTTATTTATTAATGATTTCTGTTTTCAGTGGTTAGGTGTTTGTTAGCAAACTGGAAAAAAAAATATGCAAAAGACAAAACTAAACAGAAAAAACAACAAATACACAAGACAAAACTAAAAGACAAAAAACAAACAAAACAGAAAAATACAAAACAAAACAAACAAAAAATAAATAAATAAAAATGTAGCAAAAATTAAAACAAATACAAGACAAAATACTAAACAGAAAAAACAAAACAGAAAAATCTAAACAAATACAAGACAAAAAACAAAACACAAGCAAAACAAAAAACAAAACAGAGAAAATACACCCCCCCTCCCCAAATAGCAAAATTCAAACAAATAAAAAAGATAAAACACAAAACAGGAAAAAAAGAACAAAAATACAAATAAAACAAAAAACAATACTGAAAAATAATAATAACGAAAAACAAACAAAAACAAAAACATATAACAAAAATGTACAAAATAAAGCAAAGTGCACACGCACGCACACACACACACACACACACACAAACACATTTACTTCTGGTATCGTACCAGCTGAGTATCTTTGCCGCCAACTATACTGAGACCCAGTCCAGACCGGCCTTTAGAAATCTCAATAACCGTCTCTTGTCCTGGAACTATGGGACATGTAGCAGGGTCTGAAACACACACAGAGAGATAAAGATGATGCAAGTCCTTCATGTTCAGTGTTTTTATAAACACTCCGAGTGAAAAGAAAAGAAATTCTTCTTTGAAAAAACAACAACTGTCAGTGTTCAAAGAGGCTGAGGCAAATCCACATGACAGCCCTGTGTTGTTTTCATTTCAGCCTTGATTAAACATGCATTTCGGCGCCACAGATTGCAGCGCAACAAAAAAAAAAGTCCATAAAAACATTAAAAGACTTTACATTGTTACTTTAATTTTCAACACAATTTATGACACTGAGCGTGTTGCACCTTTGCTGCAGTACTCGAAGTCAGGGCTGGTGCCGGACACTGGCACGTATGATCCTGAGGATGTGACCTCCAGAGAACCTGCTGAGGGCTTGGTGGAATTCCTCTGGATTTTTGGAAGACTGGTGATCTGGGGATAATCCAGAACAAGGACGAGTCCACAGGAACACAGACAGACAGACACAGCGGTTAGACTGTTTACTAACGGCTGCCATGTTTTGTCTAGGCAGAGCTTCCGTGTTTTGGCAGCTGTTTAGATCTCATCCAAAAATCTCATCTAACTTGCATGCAACTCAATTAAAGTAAAGAGGAACTCAAAATGAATGTATTAATGATGACTAAGGAAGTTAAATGTGTTGCAAATGGAGTTTTGTGTCACCCAAACATACACTTTAATGAACAAACACACCTGCTCCACAAGAGGCTTGGGTGGCTGTTCGCTTGGAGACTCCAATATTTTCTCTGAAGATTTCAGCTTCTGAGATGATTAATAGACCTTAATTAGTTCTGTCGCTCAGTATAACAAGCTACACAACCAAAATTTAATGGAGCAATCATGAAACTGACTAATATTCATGGCACTTTTGATTCATGAGTAAAACGGCAAAGATGGAAATGCATTACTAGCGATACAATAAATGTTTTAAACACTTTTTACAATTTTCCATAAATACATTGGCTGTATTGAAAATCTTGGATTGAAAAATGTTATTTAAAGCAAATTATATAGATAATTATAGACAATCATTTAAATCAAATCAAAATCAAATTTATATAAAAAAAAACAATAACTAATTTATGTAACAATTGCATTAATACAGAAAATTGGCAAAGTACTGTATATTAACTATAGTATATATGCATACTACAACTAAATGCCACTCACTAAATTAAAAATGCAAAATGTTTTAACATTACATCACTATGTTGGAGGTTTCCCCTCTATTTTCTATAAATACAGCGAGGTTCAAAGACCTGAAACTGCATTAAAAATCAGGGCTTCTGAATTTTATTTATATATATACTGAATTATATTTATATATACATACATGGTTGTGCATTTATTATATAAATAAGCTGAAAATAAAAATGTAAAAAGTTTGAAAATTATTTAAATAAAATAAACATTCTGATATAACATTTATATTATACCTATATTTATATTATATTATATATACATATATAAATTGATTTATAAATAATAAACAATAATAAATTATTTCTATGGGTATTTTATATATTGAGTTCTTTTGGTGGTAGGGCTTTTAGTTGTGCTGCGCCAAAATTCTGTAATTCTTAGCCACTGCACATTCGCCAGCTGGATTCTATTTCCCTCTTTAAAGCTCAGATTAAAACTTATCTGTTTAGAATAGCTTTTAGTGATTTGATTGTTTGATTTGTATGTCTGTGTGTTTTGTATAGCTTTGTATTTTGTATTTTATTGCTGTTCTTTTATGATGTAAGGTGTCCTTGAGTGTTTTGAAAGGCGCCTAAAAATTAAAGGTATTATTATTATTATTATATATACAATAAATTTGCATTACATACTGAGCACAGTATACAGTACATTTTGCACATTTTGCAAATATAGTACAGGTAGTATGTGATTCTGAACATACTCATTGAGATCTTCTTAGGTGTTTCCTCACCTTTAAGGCTGACTCTCCATCTCTGAAAGTCTTCTGCACTTGATCTGTCTGCGTGGAGCTCACGGTCGGCGCCAAGCTGGGTTGATCCTGTGTGAGGAGTCAGGCAAACAGGTAAAATAAAGCGCAAGGTTTAGATACTCCCCGCAGAGCCTCAACTAGGTCAAAACTGGATTCGCTGCCTCCATCTAGGACAGAGTTAAGCTAGAGGCAGCCGATGACAATGAGCTGCTGTTTAGAGTCAAGCGCCCCCGAGGTGCTTTCAACTGTTTGTTTACCGAAACAAATCCACATTTAGAGCAGAAACAGCTGGTCCGAGCTCAGATTGACAATGAGGGGATGAAAGCGAGGGGAGATGGGACAGACTCGTAAAATGCTGAGTCAAGAGTCATTATTGTTTTCATAATGATGGCAATTGGTTGCTGCATTCTTGCATCATATCTGGCTTGCATGGCAGACTAAAATAAATCTTTTTTTTATTCACAACACTTTTATTGGACTCTACATGAAACCGTATTTTTATAGAATCTTTATTTATATATAATTATATGTATTTGTATAATTAATTATATACAAAATGTGATTAAAAAACGAACCTAAATTTAATACAAATTAGCAATTAATGGCCGCTGACCCTTCATACAAGCTGGAGGGTGTCGATTCGGCGAGGACTCACCTTGATTAGTGGCGGCTCAGGTGAACTTCTGCTCAGAGGGAGGCTCTCGGGTAGCTGTGGCTTCTCTGCTGGAGCTGGAACTGCTGGCGTATTCTGATGCGTCTGAAACAACAGTTCTGAAATCAGCTGAACTCTTCCAGTTCTTAGCAGTGCATGAAGAGGCGGTAATCTCTAATCTGTACTAACAGGCAATTTATGCAAACAATTATTTAAATATTTAAGTAAACAAATAAATAAATGAAGGATAAATACATAAAATATTATCATATAAATATTACTATAATATTTACAATATAATAATAATAATACAATAATAATTATTACATTTAATCTAATATATTTATTTCTAAATATAACATTTAATATTTTTAATAATAATTTATAAATTTGCTAATTGAATTAAAATATTTTTTATTTTCTTCTTCAAATTATTATTTTCAAATCTCTGTTTTTCAATATTCAAATTATAATTTATTAATTTATAATTAAATAAAAATATATTTTCTTTTTTAATTATTCTTTTGAAATATTTTTTTATATTATTTTTGCATAACATATTTAACATTTATGTTAAGTGGAGTATGTTTTGGACCAATGAGTTTTCATGGTGTTCATCAAAATTGTGCTATTGAAATTGTACTCGTTAGGACAAAAACACTGATACCAACACAAAATCAAATGTGGCTATTCATAATGTACCCTACCTCACTGGAGTAGAACGAGGAAGGCTGGGAAGGAAAAGGAGCGACAGCCATTTGATTGATAGCATCTTCATTCCTATCAACAGACAGAAAAGATCTAACGTTAATCCATGCAATAGCACAAAAGTATAAAGCATGTCAATTTTCCACAAATTGACAAAAACATTCACACAAAATTATGATGGTATTATTTTTCACCAGCAAAACATCTTAAAGGTACAGTTCACCCAAAAAAGAAAATTCGGTCATCATTTAATCACCCTCATGTCGTTCCAAACCTCTATGTGCTTTTTTCTTCTGTTGACCACAACAAAGTTGACAGTAGCCATTGATTTCCACAGTAGTTTTTCATACTATGGAAATCAATGGCTATGTTCGCACAAGGCTTAACTGAGAAAAATGAATCCCATCCTTTCAACGACACCAAAATTGGTCCCGCTCTTTCTCTGCTTCTCATGTTCCCACATGGCTCTTGTCAGTTTTCTCTGCTCAGATCGATAAGGACTGATGGGCCAGATAAATTGAGATGTTGTGCTATGAATCCTCAGAGCCTCTTCCTCAAGATCTTGAGTTGACGAGTAATATCGCTCCCTACACCCCTGCTTCTGTTCACCTTGGCATTATTGTCTTTGTGCACTAAATGACCCATTTCCAATTACAGGTAATGTGTTTTTGTCAAGGTAAGGTTGACGCAGGTGATCAGAATTTATGAAACGATCAATCCTCAGCTTGTTTCCAAATAACCCCTTCTGAAGGAAGATCGAAAACACCAAATCAGAACTAACTAGGGTCACTAGTCCTGATTTCATCCAGCTCTGAAATCCCAGCGCTTAACAACTTGGAAACTGGCCACAATGAGACTGTGACATTTTGCCATTCGTGTCACAGGTGGACACGGTTCAGTCTTGACCACTGGCCAGTTATCTTACCATGGCAACATGCTTTTCTCTATTGCATTCCATCATGTGTCGCTGAATGACTTTTGACACAATACAAATCATTTACAAGGGCTTTCCGAACAGTCTGAATTACAGACCAAACTGTCGCAATAAAAGACGCAAACCGTGCATCCATTAAAGCGAATCCAGTAGCATGTAAACATGTGTTTTGATAGACTTAATCTGAGATGCCCATCATATTTCTCGGATTTCTGATAATTAGCTGTAGACAGCAAGGAGATACTGGTGTCTTTACACAGCCGTTATCAGCGAAACCGGTTGGACTGACAAAACAACCAGTCAAATAAAGGTCAAGCTAACAAATACTCATATGAAACACGAGATATGAACAGAAACAGATAATAAGTCTCTGATTACACCTAATGACAGAGTCAGTGTTCGTTTATGATGGACTAATGGGCTGTGCTGTTTCATAACCATGTATTGCATTGCAAAAATCCTCTAAAAGCTTTCAAAAAATGCTTTATAGTGATAGCAGTTCCAGTTTATTACACCATATCACACCTCACTCTCTGGATGGGAGGACATGCCAACTCCAGAAATGCCATCAAGTATCACAAGAAATGCATCAATGTCACATGACTTTGCTCGTGTTGCTAATCCACAGAAGCCAGCATGCGTCTGATTCGGTACTTAGGAACGATGACTCCACTCTTCAAAGTGACAAGAGACAGAGATAAGGTGATATGGAGTTTAAAATGCTAGACTGCTATTGTAACCCAAGAATGCATATGGGGGTCAAATTGACCCGGTATGCTGTGATTAAATGTTTTATTAATAAAAACATTTATTTGATATTCTACGAATTACTACGAAAAAAAAAACAGTTTTTTCCCCACTGTCATTAATATTTCTTGGTTATATGATCAGAATTTTTTTTTTTTGTATCATTAACCCAAGAAGGTATAATGGGGTCGAAATGACCCATATTCATTTCCTATGGAATTCTGACTCAACAGTGTTTTTGAATACTTTTTTGTCTGATATACAGCCATAGTGCACTGCTACTCGTGTGATACTGCTTTTATATATATAATATATATAAATTGAATGATATTATTCTTGAATTTGGTGCAATTAATTTATATATATATATATATATATATAAATTGAGAGTGTGGAATATAGAGGGAATATTTCAACCCAAGAATTTAGTTATGTATTTGATGTAAATGCAGTTATGTCAACCAATATACAGACATAACTGCATTTACATCTGAACACAGAGAAATGGCTTTCTCTTAACTCACGTTAACTTCAGATGGGAATGTTTAACGAAAGTACTGGCACTGACTCAGATTGCATCAATCCTACAGACTGCCATTGCCTCCTTAAAAAGCCTGCTTTATGATCCTAATTAGCCACGGTGCCTCGGGTTTTCAGCTTGATCAAGGAGTTTGGACCGGAGAAAAAAATGCACTTCATTCGTATCTGGGCAAGTGAGATTGCTTGGTTTGCGTAATTGCAAGGAGGAAAGAACGGCAGTTTCTGATAACATGCTGATTCAAGCTGAAGACAGTGACAATAATTCACAACATTTTGAGCTTGTTATAAATATTAGAGCTGTCAATGAATCAATAATTGATAACGATATTATTCTTCAATTTGGTGCAATTAATCACACATTTCAAAACTCCAGAGGAATAAACTAACACATTATAATAAATGTATGATCTCATTATTTTTAATAAGTTAAAGAATTCATAATAAAGCTGAAATGAGAGTCATTTCTTAGTAATGAGCAGATGGTAGTGTGAGAAAACCGCAGGCTGAGGGTTGTCTCTGAGGGTCTCTTACCTGACCAGGACGAGTTTGACCTTTGAAGAGGCGCTTTTTATTATGGCCGATGCATTCTGGTGGCTCCTGCCGTACAACACCTGGTTGTTTATCTGATGGAAGCACAAAAAATTCTGTTAGCACAAGACAAAAAATAAGTATTGTCAAAGAAAACTGTCAAATGGTGTTAACATTGTAGTATTATAACATTTTATGACCAATTTATATGGCAAAATGGCAACAAAGGTAAAACTAAGAAACTTGGCAAAAACAACAACAAAAAAACAAAATGTGTGAAAATTTAAAAGGTGAAACTGAGAAACTTGTGGGGAAATGGGAACGAAAACAAAGAAGAAGAAACAAACAAAAAAAAGTGTGAAAATTTTTGAAGGTAAAATTAAAAAACTTGGGAAAATTGGCAAAAAACAACAAAAAAACAAACAAAAACAAAACTTAGGGAAAAATGGCAACAAAGGTAAAACTAAGAAACTTGGCAACTAAACAAAAAAAAAAACAAAACAAAAAAAAAAAGCAAACAAAATGTGAGATTTCAAAAGGTGAAACTGAGAAACTTGGGTCAAAATGGCAAAAACAAAAACAAAAAACTAAACGGCAACAATAGTAAAACTGAGAAACTTGGGGGGGAAATGGCAACAAAACAAAAAAAGAAAAAAAAGAGAATATATGAAAGTTAAAATTGAAAAACATGGGGAAAATGGCAAAAAAAAAAAAAAAACTAAACCAAAACACAAAACAAAAAAGGTAAAATTGATAAACTTGGTGGACAATGGCCACAATAAAATGAAATAAAATTAATAAATAAATAAGTGTGATAATTTAAAAGGTAAAACTGAGAAACTTGGGGAAAATGGCAACAAGTTTCAATATCTAAAATTTACACTTTCCCACATATATTCATATAAATTTAATCCAAAATCTGTGAAAAAAAATATGTGTGTCTGATATGACAAATAACATGGACAACAACCAATATACAGACATAACTTCATCTACATTTGAACACAGAGAACCACATCCAAAACCTGTGGTAATTCCATGGTACCTTTTTTGTAAGAATTTGCTCTGCTGAACTGGTTTACAAATAGCCACATCTGAGTTTGCGAACACGTATTTGAGACTGTTTGACTTGCGTCTCCAATCACCTGTGACAGAATCATTAGGCAGGAGCACTAGTGGATCGTGACTAATGCCGCAGTGTGTTCACGTCTAATGGAGATAGATATTAGCCAAAGGTCAGCGAGCACGGCTCTGAGCCACGGCTACACCGGGCCTCAAACTCCACACCGAAATACGGCATTCGTACGTGTTGACCAAATTACTAAATCGATAGGCAATTCTGAGGAGGAAAGGAACGTGGAAACCAAAATGCCATCTGGACGGGAAAAGATCAGGGAATTTATTGTGGGATGAGGCAATATGGAGGATCAGCTGAGTTCATTCAGAAATGAATTGCGAATGCCTTCCTAAATTTGAACGGAATGTAAATTAAAGTAGCAAACAGGATTCAGAGTCTTTTTAAAGTCAACTAAAAGTGTAGTTTTAATAAGTTTTCTTTTAATAAGTATTTTTTTAATTTTCATTGTTAAGCATGAATTACCCATAAACAATAAATAATATACACAACCGTGCTATTTCCAGAAATATTAGATGATATTATTAATTACCTGTATAAATTTGTATTTAAATGTATTTGACATAAATAAACGTTAATAGTAATATAATTAATAATAAATAATACAAATAATTCCTAATTATATTTTAATTATCTTTTTTTAATTTTATGGTCAAATAAATTCACCAAAATGTTTAATAAATTACATAATCAATTGATTAAATATTAATTTGTGGATTCGCTTTTTTCTTTTAATAAACTGAAAAATATTTTAATTATTCACATTGTGTCAATGGTTTGGCCAATTCAATTCAAAGTCACACTCGTGAGAAAAAACATTAAAATTGTGCATGAATATAAACATAAAAGTGACCTGGCGTTATCAGTGTGTTTCACCTCGCAATGAATTATATCTTATGGTGAGGTTGAGGGGTTGAAGGAGTTAGAGAAACACTTGGAGAGATAAAGCGAGCAGAAGAGGAAGGCAGGGAAAGTGATAAGCACAGACAGAGATAGTGAAACTGAGGGCAGGTGGCTTCATTTGAAATTCATCCGGCCATCTGAGGCAAAACCCTACACTCGTGTTTGCACATTAATAGCTCAGGCACAGATACAAACAGATGAAGACAGAGATAGCGGAACCAGCTGATCCACATCCAGAACAGACAGCCTGACCACCACGTCCCTCGAGACTCAAAGTGATTTTGCCTGTATGAGACTGACCCAGACGACCCTTGAGCCCCATGCTTCATTCAGCATTAGACCATACTGAGAATGAAATTGATGGAAACCACCATTTCCCCCGGTGGATTACAAGGGGCTCAACAGGAAAAGGCTATTACCTAAAGAAAGAAAAAATGAAAGCGAGAGAGATATAGTTTCTAAATCCTGAGAACTGACCCACAGTTCCTCACTGGGAGCTATTTAAGAGTCACTTTGTAAAAAAGGGCAGGGACACTTTGATACATATTTTGTATTATTATTAATAATTTATATTAATTGAGCAATATGTGTCACTCACTAATATTAATTATATATAATATTAAATGCATATCATTAAAGGCAGAGTAAGTGATTTCTGGTAGCCAATGTTGATATTTGAAATCACCAAAACAAACACTATAAATAAGATAGATGATAGATAGATGATAGATATATAGAAATCATATTTAAATTAATAATAAAATAAATTATAATTAAAATTAAGAATATGTATAAGTGACATCATTAATAAAAATAATATAATAAAACTGTAATTAATAACAATTAATAAAATATAACATTAATAATTACATTAATTATTATTATTGGCTACTGATTAATTAACCAATTCATATCAATTATAATGACTGCTAATGAACAAATAATTTGATTTGATGTGATTTTATTTTATTTTTTTAAAGAAATACTGCACTAAAAGTTGAAGATGTTCACCTTCTCTAAGCCGCACCTCAACCACTCAATCACTTGACTGTGTGTTTGCACGTTTCACCTCCAACAGCTCGTCGCCCACTTTGATGTGTCCATCTCGGCTGGCCGGCCCTCCGGCGGTGATCCCCACCACGAAGATGCTCATGCAGGAGCGATCCCTGTTCCCAGCCAGACTGAGGCCCAAGCCATTCCGATCTTTCTCCAGTTCCACGATCAGCAACTCTCCCGGCAGGTCCGCGTACCTCTGCCTGATCACCTCTAAACGCAAACATGAAGAAAGGACACGTCTGACAGGGAATAGGACTGGAAACAAAAGCAATTACTTTCCTAGAGGACAAAGATAAAGGTATTGTTTACACGAGCGTCTATACATCACGCTGAGTATAGTAAACTGTATTGACACGTAATCTGAAAAGCCCCAAGGCTCAGGGAGCAAAGCATCTCTCATTTTGAGAATGTCCTCGGTACGTCATCCGGGAACTGAGCCTAGCATGGCTTGGAATTACACATTAAGTCACCATATGTAGTTCTTTCTAATTTAAGACCAATCCAACTCTAACCTAATGCATGCAGTCAAATGTGGCGCCCAACGTAGGGTCGTTTCGAATGCCATAAGATAACTCGCCACATCTATGGCCATGTACACAATGAAATCAATTTACCTTTTAGTACTTAATTCTGTTCTGTACATACACAGTTCAGTAATTTACGCAAGTGACAACTGCATTCTACAACTGAATTGACTCTCTAAAAATGCAGGTATTGACAACCGAATTTATAGAAATTCTACACAGTGTGTATGGAACCGAACTGAACAACTAGTTGTTAATGACGTATTTAAACATCAGAGTTGTGTCTTTTCTGTATGTGTGGCGTAATGAATCACAGGGTACGTTTCGACTCATTACTGTTGCCAGATCATACTAGAAAAAAAATAAAAACAAGCCCATAATAAACTCAAATCCAAATGTGCTATCTTGGAAATAAACCACATACCATAACAGAGCGACCTGCAACTGCCTACTTCATTAACTACATAAACTGGATCGGTTTATGAGCCAAGCACAAATATCAATCCCAAAGACGCTTAATAAGTGTTGCTTATAATAAGTGGACATGGCAACCCTTCAAAAGTGCACTCTGAAAAAGCAGCCTTCCAAACATTAACAAAACATGATGTTTCTGTCGATGGGGGTTTAGGTAAAATCGCCGAACATAACGAGTCTTTGGTCATTGTAATATTACTTTGGTTAAAAATAGCGTATACCAAACATGTGAGATGGCAGAATGCTGCTATGGTTACCATGGTGTCAATCATCGTAGTTTTGAGAGTGAGTTCTGCTCCGTACGCATACAAAACGATAACTTAGGGGATTCACTCCTGTATTTAAATGCAGTTATCACTCCTGAAACTTTGCAGTGTGCACGTGACCTATATTACTTAGAAATAATTAACAAGTCAAAAATTACAACTTAGCTTCCACTGAAGGTTCGAGCTTAGCATGGACAGGAATTTCAAGAAACCCTTTTGATTGCCGAGGTTTGAGTAGACTAATTTTAATTTTTCTCTGACAAGAATGAAAAAACGAAACACTGTTGCATTTCGGGCGCTAGAGATTTTCCAGGTTGAGTGGAGAACGGAATTGAATCTTTTACAGCTCACGGTGCAGTTATCCTGAAACTTTGCAGTGTGCACGTGACCTATATTACTTAGAAATAATTAACAAGTCAAAAATTACAACTTAGCTTCCACTGAAGGTTCGAGCTTAGCAAAAAAGAAACCCTTTTGATTGCCGAGGTTTGAGTAGACTAATTTTAATTTTTCTCTGACAAGAATGAAAAAACGAAACACTGTTGCATTTCGGGCGCTAGAGATTTTCCAGGTTGAGTGGAGAACGGAATTGAATCTTTTACAGCTCACGGCTCATGTGATATTACATCTAGACTTACAGAGCTCACGTAATCGATTCATGGCCACACGCCGATAAACGGCTGAGAGAAAGACAAGAGCAGAGCCTGCAGCATTTAATCGCCACAAGCGTTTTAAACCGCGGCAAATTAATCTTAACAAATCAGCCCTTAGTTGACCTAACACAAGCTCAAATCAAAACTAGGCCTGGTTCATCCTGAGGCACTTCCTGCAAAAAGGACAAAAGTGAAAGTGTCACTTTGCTTTTACCCATCTTGCATCGCTCAAAAGTCTGTATTATATGGCTGTTATGGAAATGGGGGCTGAGCCGGGACTTCAAGGAAAAGTAGTGACTGGACTCTCGAGCACCGGGAACATTTGATAATCTTCCAAGCCAGCTGCTTCTCATGAATCTCAAAAGACTTCAATGGTCGAAGAGATTTTTTTGAGGGCTCTTCAGTTTTCATGCTATCAAAATTCAGTGTAGTGCTGCTGGTGGCCATAAAGAAACACAACACTTCAGACGGAGATGATTTGCTGGCACTTTTAAACCACAGCGGACCATCAGTTAGGACTTCATTGATGAGAAACCGTGAGGAAACTTCGCAATATGGAATCAAAGAAAACCAGGCAATTTGTTGGCTGGTTTTAGACACCTAAACAAAATGAGGCCACTGGCAGATGGTCGGTGAAGATGTTTCATACTTTTAACAACTTCTTCCTACCCTTTAAAGTCTTTTCCAAACTTCAATAATCCCATGTGACACTTACGATGGCTCTTTAACGTGCAAGTTTCAGTAGCCATTCTGATTAAAACCACAGCTGTCGCATGGACGTGACCTTTCGCATTATGAAAGCTCATCCCTGTTTCCTTTATACTGCGGTGTAGCTCTTTGGGGGCGCGTCGAGAGAGCACTGCTACCATGTGAGAGGACTAATTAACAGCATTAATTAGGAAAATAGTGTGTCAATAATGCAAAATGACAATAGTAAACACTAATTTTTTAACTGGAAAATTAGTGTTTACTATTAGCTCTTTGGGGGCGCGTCGAGAGAGCACTGCTACCATGTGAGAGGCCTAATTAAAAGCTTTAGGACTTTAGGAGCAACATTAAACTTTGGCAAATGGATGAAGCGAGAGTGTCGTACGTCCTGTGAGCAAAGAGAGGAGGTAGGACAGCCTATCATAGCCCTCGGACTGAGGAATACGATTGGACAAACATTTTATGGTCGTCCAATTTATATCGTCCACAGATGATATAAACACATAGAAATACATTTAGACCACTTAACTTAGTGATTGCTATCGGGATGTGAAGGGACTTTCAACCAGCATAACATTTTTTGTTTTGAACCAAATCACCTACACTGCCTTTAAGAATAAATTTACACTAGCTAAAAGAATATTATTTTGCATTAAAAATTGGCATAGACAGGTTGTCACTAGAAATGGTGAATGTTTCAAATATTATATGGTGCTCATTATTATGCTGTAATTTAAAATAAGTAAAAATTTTCAGTTTCGGATTTTGGCCAAGTGCATCCTGAATTTTGGGTTTCGGCCTAGAATTTTCATTTTGGTGCATCAATAGTAATATAATTTTTACTTTTGTGATTAACACATATTGTGTCAAACATGCATGTAATGTATTGATCTAGATCTTTACTACTTTGTGAGATGCGTTTTCATTATACTTTTTGAATGAGCAATCATTCTCGCCAACCAACACAAGTGCTCAAATTTAACTTGTGATATTTAATATTTAATAACTTATTTCCTACATCTCACACCAGGGATTTTTGCAGGTCAGTGGTTCAACAATTACCACTCGATCATCAATCAATGGTTTACATTTCTGCTTTGAGTATGAAGGATTCTGGGTTCTAATCTACTGTAATACATGCGCATGCACATAGAAATCCTAATTATCGTAACTACTACAGCACTTTTAAAATCAGAGGAGTCGATTTTAAAACTCATGAGCTTAGCATCTAGGTTGACATACGGTCAGAGGTTCAACTATCATTGATATCATCGAAGCAAACCTTGATAGCAAGATAATTCAAGAGGCTTCATTATGCATTCAGATAAACCCTGCCATTTTATTGATCCAATGTGTAGCTTCATATCACTGAGCTGATCATTGACAGTCAGGTAAGAGGCGTATAATGCACAACAAACAAGGGCTGCGCTCAGATCAGCTGCGTCAGGATCCATCACATGCTGATAGAGGTGGAAACAAAAACCCTAGGAGTTGTAATTTGATAAGACCCAACGGAGGATGAGGAAATAAAAGATCAATGCTGGCATACTTGAGACCGACAGCGAGAGATGACTACCGTGAAAGAGAGGAATGCTGTGCAAGGAAAAAAGAAAAATTAAATGGAAAAAAAAAACTATTAACGTGAAAGCAAATATTGACCTAACATTTGAATGACCTTGAGGCCGTTGCATCACCTTCTAAGGGAGAAACAAGGGAAAATCTCTCCTCGAGGACAGTGAAGGTCACCTTCAAGATTTTATTATGATTGAGAGGTGTTTGAGGACAGCGAACCCATTCTTGATCAGATTATGAAGCACGTAGCAGCTCATGCGTGCAGCACTGGCTAACTAGTTGTTAGAGGTCAGACAGCAATTCAGCAAGCAGAATCGACTGGCAGAGACCAAAGGGTTGAGGTTTGCCTGATTTTGCCATCTAGTTTCTGCTGGTGGATGCTGTAATTAAACGTATTAACTTTACACCATATACTCATTATATTTTACTAAACCTGTTAGTCTTAATTACTTAATGTACAGTATGTTTAAATTAATCTGTTATGAAACATGCTATGACAGCCATTGTGTAATTGAATATATTTTAACAAATAGCTTAGAAATTGTATTATTTATAAGTTAATTTAAAAACGGCATTATGTGCCATTTACATGTTTGCATACAATTTTTTTTTTTTAAATTTTTTTATTTATTTATATATTTTTTTAAGTTGAGTGTTGATCATCTATTTAAAAATAAATAGCAATTAAATTTAAGTTTGGGTTAAGTTGTTAGGCCTAATTGTAACCTTATAATGTAAAAGGGCTCCCTATAGTTTTAAGCATAAGCTGAGGTAGATTTTTATCACTAAGAAAATGTAAACTATAACTGAATGTATTTAAAGAAAGAGCAACTTGTTCAGTAAACCATTTAAAAAAAAAATAAAAAAAAGTTTCCCCCCTGCTGTACCGAAATCATACCGAACCGTGACGTTAAAACCGAGGTACATACCGAACTGTCATATTTGTGTACCGTTACACCCCTAATATATATATATATATATAAACACATTATACACCGTTCCAGGTAATCAGT